CTTTCTTTCTCTGTGCGTGTGTGCGTGGTCTCGATCCTCCTCTCTCTCTCTCTCTCCCTCCTCTTTTTGAGTTATGCGAGTAGCACTCCCACTCTCTGGCTTACCTGGGTCAATGTATGTTTGCACCCCGCGGCGGGGCGCGCAGGAGGGTGGACGCGCCTGTGTTGCCCTCTCTGCGCGACCTCACGTGCACGCGGGCCTTCATGTCATTTTTTTTTTGCTGTTGCGTGCAGATTCTTGCGCCCTTTGCTTGTGTGTGTTATTATTATTATTATTACTATTATTGCTATTCTGCGGTGCCACTGTTATTATTGTTTTGTAATCCATCCGGTGACGGTTGCGCGTTGCCGGCTTTTTTTTGTTTTGCTTTTTGCTTTCACGCGTCCAGCGTCTCTCTTCCTTTTTTGCCTTCTCTGCGTGACGGTCTGGGGGAACGCAGGGGCAACACGACAGCTGACCCAAAGCACACACGCACACTCACGAAACGGGAGCGCGCAAGCCGCATGTCTGCTTCGGCGACCGCCTGGGTTCTCAGCATGGGCTCCGCCTGCTGCGCAAGCTGCGGAGCCTGGATGCCGCAGCAGCGGGGTTCACCCTCGTCGTCACCAGCGATGTGGTGCCAACAGTGCGGGACACATAATTATAATAACAGCGGCATTCATGGGCCCTACACCTGCGATGCTCGCAACAACACCGCCGCCGCACTGCTGTTTACGCCGGAGGAAATTCGAGCCGCGCAGGCTGAAGTGTTGACAGCACTGGCAAAGACAGACATAACCGCAGAGATGGCGGTCGGCAACACACACGTTGACAACCGTGTGCTGGAGGAGGCGTTCTGTGACACTTGTGGTGTGCACCGCCAGTGCAAAGTATTCGCACGACAGATACGAAGCGCCGATGAGGGGCAGACAATATTTTATCAGTGCACAAAATGCAATGCGGAGTGGCAGCTCAACTCTTAACCCCTCAGCCTCCGTTGCTTTGCTTCTAGCTTTGTTGTTGTTCTTGTGGACGTTGTCTCTCTGCCTTTCTTTCTCTCTCTCTCTGTGTGTGTGTGTCTCCCAGTCTTCGCTACGAGTAAGCCAGAGGGTGGTGTGCGTGTGCGTTGTTATTCAATGAAATGGGGCGGACTGCCGTCACGCGCTTCCATGCGCCTCTCCACTCGTATGGAGTGTGGTGCGTGGGGTATAACATTTTTTCCGTCATCGGTGTTTAACTGTGTGGCTTGCTCTCCCGCTGCGTGGTGCTCATTTCCCACGTTTACGTGCAGCTAGTCTTCCTCCTGACGATATCTGCTGCAGTCTTTCCTCTTCCCTTTTTGTTTGCTTCTGTGTCCCTCGCTCTCGCACGCGTTGTGAGGGGAGTGGACGTCTGTGTGTGTGTCTGTGCGTGTTGGTGTCACCGTCGTGCTGCCGGCAAAATATAGTTGTGAAGACTGCGGCAGCGAGGGACAACAGGAAGCACCAGCAACAAACAGCCGGCTCGTCGAGGAAGGGTTCTGGGGACAGACAGGTGAAAAGAGACGACGACGGGGACGATGAGCTCCGAGACCACAGTGCAGCCGGCAGCGGGGCTGCACACGAGTGAGGGCACGACCGTGGACAGAACTATCAATCTCTTTAACGCCACCCAGCACAGTTCGTATGAGTGCGATATCGAGACCCTGCCGCTTGGGTTCCTCTCCGCGAACCGCGTGGTGTCGGTGCTGGAGAAGGCCATTGAGCGGCTGGAGCTGCTTAGTCTGTTGGATACAACGTCGCCAGAAGAGGGGGCCACCCGCCCACTTCTCCCCGGTGTCGGCGGCGGAGGCCGCGCGAATGCTGCGGATGCTGATCAGACCAAGTCCCCCACCTTCACCCCGCGAAAGGCGGTGGTGATACTCTCAGGCAACGAAGATATGCCGCGCAAGACGATGCGGGAAGTCAATTCGGCGTTGTTGGCCGTTGCAAACACGCAACGCACAGGGCGTCCCACGGTGGCGGAATTGGTGGAGGAGCAGCAGCGACTGGAACGGCGGTACGGGGAGCTGCTGCGTAAGACTAAAAAGGCTAAGCCAAGCCCCAATGAGCCGGAGCTTGATCCGAGCTGTTTTGCCGCCGTTGAAGACACGGAGCAGGCAGCTGTCATGATGGAGCTCAAGGAGACTTCGCGAACCCTGCGAGAACACAACAAGGCCCTCTTCATTCAACTCAAGGACAACCCCCACGATGCGGATAACTGGAAAAAAGTTGGAAATGAGCGGTCCGAGCTGACACAGTTGTTTCAAGCTCTGGTGCGGGAGCTAACAACAGGGTACAACACGGCAAAGACCTCCGTCTCTACAGGAGGATTGCAACGCACCAATAGCAAACGCCAACGCTCCGCAAACACAGAGAGTTTGGGAGTGGATTCCAGGGACGCCACGTTGCCGCTAATGAAAAATCGCTTCGGTAGTGCCGTCCAAATGAAGCGAAGCACGCGAGGCCCTTTAGCACCACGTATTCCTCTTACCTCCTACTTTGATCGCTTTGCCAAGCTGATTTCGGACGAGCAGAACGCCCAGCGTTGGGCCGAAGAACTTCTCATCAAGGAGAAGGAGATGAACCAGAACGTGAAGCAGCTGCAGTACGACCTAAAGGCGGAGAAGCTGTTGAAGGAGAAGGATGTAGCTGAGCGTCGCCAGCGCATTGCCGAGCTAAAGGTCAAACTTCGGCTAGAGAAGAAGCAGGTGAAGCAGCAGAGTGAGATGGTGCGGGCCGAGGTCGAGGCCTCGCATGAGGCGCGACAACGAAGTGCCCGTGAGGAGGAGCGTCTTGTGCTTGAGAAAATACGTGGATTTGAGCAGGAGGAACGCATGGAGGATTTGGCGCACGCAGACTTCAAGGAACACCTGATTGAGCGCACCGAGGCGATGGATGAACTTGCGAATCAGTGGGACCGAAAGAACCAGAGCGAGATCAAGCGGGTCGAGGCACGCAAGATTGATGTAGAGCAGATGCGGCAGCAGTGTGCGGAGCGATTGGAGAAGGCGTTGAAGGATAAGGAGTTGGAGCTGCAGCTCAAGCAACAACGCGATGATGAGCGACAGCAGGAGGAGACGCAAAAGACGGCAGCTGAAACTCAGGCAAACTTGGTGTACGATGCCGTGTCCCAGATTCAGTCTGCAATCCGTGCCATGTTTACACGACAGGCTCTCACTCTCCTCAAGAAGAAGAACAAAAAGAAGCGCAAGGCAGAAAATGCATAGCCCCGCCGGGGAAGTGGGTGCTGAGGACATGGAAGGTATGAGCATACAGCTCCACCTCATTGCGTCCATCTAGATGTGCCGATACGCCTGCGTGAGTACATGATAAAAACGACAAGTACAACACTTGGTCATGAATTGAATGCCGCGTGGATCAAATGAGAGGAATCATGTCTGGAGGTAATATCTGTATCCTCGTATCTATGCCAAAGGAGATGCATATGTGGGTAGTTCGACACTCTTGCTCTTTTTGCCTGTTTGCTTTGCTTCTTCCTCTTTCTTGTACTTGTTTTTCAGATTTGCCCTCCCCCACCACTTGAACTTCAACTTGAATGTTGCTATGTATAGAACGTGACACGGCACGAGGATCGAGCCTTGGATCTTTTCGTTGGAGGGAGAAACTCGAGTGCAAACACGGAGTTGCTGTTCGCTTTCCGTTCCTTATATATATATATATATATCCTTATAACCTCCCACCCTTCACTCTCAGCGTGCAACACGTGCTCCTTATATACATTGTACGCATGACGAAGGTGCTGTTTGTGCTTAATGATTCCTTTCTCTGACGCTCTTACTCTCCTATTTTTTTTCCTTTTTGGGGAGAGGTGGGGTGGGCTTGCTTGCGTACTTGCACCTCCACGTTACCCCTTCACTGTAAGCAGTGGGGTGTAAAGTGTGCGTGTGCGTGCAAGTTCCGATGAGGCGCCGCTCCCCGTCGCTGCGGCGGCGGAAGCTTTACAAGCTCGAGGGGAAGAACCAGCGGCAGCCGGCGGTAGGAGCCACGCAGGCGACGCCCCGCACGACGGCGCGGCCCAGAGCAGAAGAGCGTGCCACTACACCCATGACGGAACAGGAAACGGCCGCGTTGTTTCTCGCCGAACTGGCAGCTACCACCGTCACGGAGCGGGCGGCGGCGGCGGCGGCGGCAGGGGAGAAGGAAGTCAAACAAACGGGGGCGAGGAGTCGTGGCAAAAGAATGCCTCTGGTGCGCACGGCCACAAGAGAAGGGAAACGGTCCTCTGCCTCCACAAGGACTTCTGGCACCGCTAAGCCCTCTGCGCTGGGGCAACTGGAAATTCCGGCGCTGCCGCTTGAGGAGGGCGAGGAGGATGCTTATGTCTCGACGGAAGTGCTGCGGCAAACCGCCGCATTTCTTGCACGTCTCACACCGGCACGATCGAAGCAATTCTGGGCGCTGCGTCAAGTGGCACGTGGGGAGTTGAGCGGCCGATCGGCCGCGAAAGTGAAAGAAATGGCGCCCGCGTCCGATGAGGGGGAGGAAGAGGAGGAGGAGGAAGACGTCGATCTTACGTCGAGTGAGGGTCCCGGTGACAGGTCTTTGTCTGGCGCGGCGAGCGAAGGTGAGGTGCCCTCTTCCTCAGAGGAGGTGGAGGATAGTTCCTTGCCACTACCACCGAGAACAGCAACAGCAACCACAGCAAAGAAGATGGGTGTCGGTAAATGCAGTAAGGAGATGCGGAATACAAAGCGGCGTGGCGGCGGCGCACTATTTAGCAGCAACCCGGATGTTTGGGAGGATTGAGGGCAATGGCATTCTCTCGCCGATTCTCCATTCACCCAGAACGAAATGTGCTCCTGCTGCTTCCGTTGGTTGTGGCGTGCTGCGTCGTGGACACCCCAGGTTGGAGGAGGAGGAATGACGAGTAAACAGAAGGAGAAGGATACCAAATAATAATGGGCAGCGGAATACCACCCAGGGCAGTGAAAAGGAAGCAAAGGTCATAATCTTTGGCGGGTGGTGCACGACTGTCTTTGAGTGCC